GTGCAAAGCTGTGCCCCCACCTGCATGGGTAAGCACAGAGCTTGGTGTGTGTCCCTGCATGTAGGGGAAGGACAGGGATGTGTCTCTGTGCGGTGCACGTGCCCAGATGCATGCATGCATGCATTATGTCCATAGACATAATGTCCATCTCTCTGCCTAAGGACATGTCCGCGCTGTGTGTGTCCATGTGCACCCCTGAGCCAGGCACACTTCAGCAGAGGGGTGTGGGGAGGGGGAAGGAGTCAGGAGCCTGCACAGGACCGTGTCTAACCTACCATCGCCTTCTCCTCTCCCGTCTTTGCTCTGCTCCATCTTCCTGGGGAGCATCAAGTGCAGCCTCCCACCCCTGCGCTGCCCTCTGCTCCCTGCCCCTCAGGGCATGGTGGGGAGGGCTGCACCGGCTCGGACTCCCCACCCTTTCCTGGAGCTATCAGGACTGCGGGGTCCCGTCAGATCCAGCTGCTCTTGTCGAGGATGCCCACGGGCGGCCTCGCTGCCTCTCCCAGGACGGCATTAAGGACGCAGCCCTGAGGCAATGCCAGGGCTGGTCCACGGCTCACCTGGCAAGCCAGCCTATGCCTCAAGCCACCGGTTTGCAATGCAGCCGCTTGCCGATCTGGTGGTTTTGCTCAGCTCGGGAGCCCATGCTAACGCTGGCATTCATCTCCCTCGGTATTAACTGATGCTGTATTGACAGCTGCATCCTGCCTGTCATCCCGTCAGCCGGGGATTGACAGATGCTGGGAAGCCGCTTCTAATGCTCTGCAGTGTTTCGCGTGTCCCCCGTGCAGCGCGGGTCCGGGAGCCCTTGCCAAGAGCTTTTTCTGGCTGCTCCGTCCCCGTTCATCCCTTTCAATTCAGCTCTGTTCCCTCCCCGTGCATGAAAGATGCCCCGGACCCCTCACCTGCTATCTCTGCACCCACCCGGTCAGCCCCGAAATAGGGGTCCGGGTGCTGCCCGCGTCTCGCGGGTCCTTGGGGAGTCTCCCTGCTCCTCTCTACCCTGAGCATCCTCCTGTTTCGTCCGTTTTTCTGGGCACTTGCTGCATAGTCTGAACGGCTTTCAAGTGAGCTGTGTGTGTGTATGGGTGTGCATGTGTGCATGTGTGTGTGGTCTTATCCAGTTCACTCCCTCCCACTTCAGTCTTTACTAGCTTGCCTCTGTAGTCAAATGGGCACATTGCAGGCCTAAAACTGCCGTGAAAGTTTCCTGACCCAGCTCTGCAAAGCTGCTGGAGGAGCAGCCCCTGCCTGTACCACCTCCATGGCCATTCAAGCATGAGGTTTGGGGGATGCCAAACTGAGAGGAGCGGAGAGGAAGGGATCCCAGGGGCACAGAGGCAGGACACGGATAGATGCCTACCCGCTCACTCCCCTGCAACAAGCCTCTCCAGGCCATGCCCTGCATCCATCGCTCCCCTTCCCAGCCAGGGCACAAGTGCCGGGAGATGTGCCAGAGCTGGCACCTGACATCAGGAGATTGAGACAGGTTTGGCCTTTTGCACAGTGCAGGGAGGTGAAGGGGATGCCTTTACCTCCCAGGGCAGAGACCATCTGGGACGTGGAAGGGAAGCCAACCAGCGGGAAACCATCCGGAGCAGCAGCTGGTGCCGAAAAGCAGGGGAGACGGGACACATCCAGGGCCTGGGGGCATTGCACAGCCTATGTGGGTACAAGCCACGTGCCTTGCTCAGCCTTGGTGCCGGCGAGGGAGCCAGTGCTTCACGTCCACCAGCTCCTATTAAATCCTCCAGGAAAGGTTGAAGCTTGTAAATGTTTTACAGCAGGATTAAATGGCTCTATTCCCGGCTCGCCTGTCCTCGCTCGTGCTCATCCAGCCCTTTCTTTTGGCTGCCAAAGATCCCTGTGCCCGTGCCTGCCAGCTCCTGCAGGACACGGATCCCCCCACGCCGCCTGTACCCCCACCCTCCTTGCCAGTGAAGCTCCCAATGCGACTCCGGACACTGCATCCCAGTCCCTGCATCACAGATGGAGAAACTGAGGCAGGGAGTAAGGCAAGCAAGTGGCAGAGAAAGGCAGCCTGGAAGTGATGCCACAGACCCATCGCATGCGTGTGCATGCACACAAGCAGATCCTGGCATATACAAAAGCCAACGTGCGCACACTAGCACCCCAAAACATGCATGCACACACTTGCAGGTGCACATGCCTATAGCTGAAGGGGACCAGGTGCATGCATGCACACTTGCGCAGATGCACATGTGTGGGAGCATGCATATACATGCTGGCGCGTGCAGCAGGGGCCAGCGCCCCTTTCCCACAGCCGGCCAGAGGCTCTTGCAGGACTGATGACCACACACGCCGAGAGAGCTGCCTGCAACCCAGGCTGGCTGCAGAGACCCCCGCACGGGGGCATCCAGCGTGGGCCGGCGCTGCCCTCCAGTGGGCCCTGCTCACAGCGCTCGCTGCTCGGGATGGCTTAGGGGGGCTCAGCTTGCAGGGCTGCTCCCAGAGGCTCTGGCCTGGGGCATTTTGCAGGGATGAGTCGGAGCTAGAAGTGCTTCTAGGCCCGCTTGCCGCACCAGCCCTGCTGTCCCCACCTCCCTGCGGACATCGGTCCTGATCCCCTCAGCGCCCGTGGAAAGACCGGGCTGCAGTGTGGGTTGCCCACCTGGCCCCAGGCCTCCTCGCTGCCTTCCCCCTGCAGCGTGACATGAAGCTGGGGCAGGGTGATACAACCAGGCTGCAGGGCCCCCATCCATCCCCCAGCGGGGCAGCTGCAAGGGGCAGGAGATCCACAACCGCACGGCTCTTTTTATGAGCATAGGGCCAGATGGGCTCTGGCCTCCCCACCTAGGCTTGGGCAGCTCGGGCGTAAGTGCAGGGCAAGGAGTTGCTCCAGGCGTGAGGCTCTGGGCACCCGCGCAGCACAGGGGCTGGCAGGGAGCCTGGCACGGGGCAGCCTCAGTGCAAGAGAGGCCTGGCGCTGAGCAGAGGCAGCTTCTGCTCCATCCCTGGCATCAGCATCCAGGGCAGGCGCCCGTCTGTGCCCCTGCTGCCAGCTTGGCCTTGCACGGGTGGTTGCACGGGTGGCTGCTGCTCTCTAGCGGCCAGAGAGGAGCACAGGCAGCCGCCCGGGGAAGCTGGCAAGGGATGCTCCTGGCAGGACCACCCTGTCCCCAGCCGCAGCACGGCGTGGAGGGCCGGGAGGGGACAGCCGCAGGACCCCTGCCTTCTCCTGGGACAGATGGCAGGGAAACAAAATGATGCTCCAGCTGGACGTGCTGCTGCGAGGCCACACTGGGCCCTATCAACCTGCAGCCCTCTCCCTGGGTGCCTCAGTTTCCCTGCCTCGGGGGAGACGATGAGGATGGAGCAGCTACAGCTACCCCTCAGGCCCCGGGATGTTTCAAGTCTGGGGTAGGCGAGAAGGACAGGGTGGGGGTATGGGAGACACCGAGAATGAACCTCTCCGCTAGCCCACGTTGCTCCGGTCTCTCTCCTCCCGTGGGATCCCGCTGTCACCGATGCGAGGGGGATTTCCAGGGGAGGCGTGTGACAATTCAGTAGCTCCCCGTGCAACTCAAGTGACAGCCCAGCGCTTAGCAAGAGTCGAGGGGCAACTCCAGGTGTGGGAGCGCCCCGGGCCTTCTTCGGGAGGGGAATTAACCCATCAAGACATGGGCATGGCTTAAACGTGAATGAGGGCTTTGGGGCTGCAACTGGCATTTCCCCCTTATGCAAGAAGGGAAGGGGGAAGAGAAGAGATCTTCAGCTCGGACTTATGAATCTGCTAGGTATGGGGGGCACTGACTGCTAGGTCTATCCAGATGCCCCAAGGCCAAAAGAGGGGCTTGCGACCCCCAGGCACAGACAACCCAGCAGATCCTGCTAGCTGCACCACGTCCATCTCGGGTTCGCCGAAGCGCGGGGGTGTCCAGGTAGCCGTGCCTCGCTGCTACCGTGAGTACAGTTTTCAGCCTCGGGTCCTTCGCACGCGTTCAGTGCTACACATTTTAGGCCAGCGAGATCCATCCGTCTGTCACCGAGAAATTTTAACCCTGGGTCTGAGGGTTCAACTCAACCGCCTGCCGTGCTGGATCGGAGCCGGCTCGGTTTGCAAGCCCGTCCGCTGCAAGGGCCTCTGCCGTCGGAGGGTGCTTCGTTTTTAAATCAGCGAAAAGGTCAGCGTCCACCTGGGTTGGGAAGACGCACCCCTTGGGTAAAACAAAACGAGATAGACAGCCCTGCGACACGGAGCCAGCGCACCCCAGGCGTGTACGTGTTGCTTTAAATAAATACGCTTACTGCTCAGAGGTCTCCATTTCGGTGGCACGGACCAGACCTGCAGGGCCTCCTCAAATTTTCTGCTAGGGGACATAAATGGCAATCTCAAAGTGGTGGTTTCTACTGAAACCAGCTATGTCCTTTTACCACTCGAACACGTGGAGGCAGAAAAGTGTGGGGCGGCTGTGCTGGACTGAACGCGCCCGATTTCTGCTAAGCAGTCCCGGGTCCGGCTGACACTTGGCGGGAGACCACCGTCGCTGAACAGCTGGCAAAACACTCGTCATAGGCAGTCGAGGATGATCATCTTCCACGATTGTCTTGTCTGTGGTTCCTAAGAGGGCGGATGAGGCTGATCCAGGATCGACGGCGGATGCAGAACCACAAACACAAGACCAGACTTGACACGTGTCGAGTTGCACTCAGATGGGACCTCGAGGTAGGCAGGCTGGGCTGGTCAGGTAGGTGCTGCACTCCTAACCACGTCCAGAAGTTGTTGGCCACCAGCAGTACCGGTTGCTTCACAAGACTGTGTCGGAAGCCTCTTAACGGACAATTAAGAGTTGACCACAATTAACTGCTGACCGTCCCAAAGGCAAAGCTTCCTAACCAGGGCTGGCTCATGCCGGGAGAGTATGGAGATCCTCAAAAGATACAGCTGTGATCGAAGACCATGGAGGACAGATGCAGACAGACAGGCACTCATGGAAGTCTGGAAACTCAAGACAGAGGAGCTCTACCAATGCACCACGTGCTTTTCCAGGGGTAAAAACCACTGTTTTATTTATTTATTTTTCTTAGATAAAAAGAAGATGAATGGCTTCGCACAGGAGCGTTGTGCTCCACAGACCCAAAGGAAAGGCGGCTAACGGGGAAGGTTATCTCTCAGCCTGAGGAGCCTGCGCGGTTGGTTTATTCCATTAATCTGTCGCTATAGCATTTCCACGACTTAAAGTACAAAAATACAATTACATCTCCAAAGGGTATTTTATACCTACCGAGAGCAGTTGAGCACTCAACCGGATGAGACATCTCCGTAACCTTCAAAGAAGAAATAATGCACAACACAGACAGGGAATGGAAAATAATAATAAAAAATGTACACATCTGGAGCGCGTCTGCTTGATTCTGCCGGCGTTTCCACTACAACTGCTAAGATACACGTATCAATCAGGTCATTGCTGTTAGGAAAGCCGAGAGCACACAAAGGAAGGGCACTAGCAACCAGCGTGAGATCTGACATTCGGGGCTACATTTAGTAAGTTAATCATTTGAAGGTGTTCTCTCCTTGGGATTTTAATCTTGGGCACATCAAGCGGCAAGCCTTTTTGCTGTTAATTTATCTGCATGATAAAAGCAATCCGCATCTGCTTGTGGAAAATACGGTCATGACTGGGTGGCTACGTCTTTCCCTTTTCAGCCCAAAGAGCAATGTATGTCCCTGGACTGCGTTTCCTGGGCAGACGATGCATGCCCTGCACATCCATTAATGCGGTTCTCAACCAGGGGGCCTGAAGGCTGGGATGGGAGTTGTCATGGGGTTCATTTGGAGGGGACACCAGGAAGCTCCGTGTGCTCAGGGAATTTTCCAACAGCAAGCAAGCAATGCACCTCGTGGCTGCAAGCATCAGCACGCAATACACTGCACTTGAGTAAAGATCCACGTTGCTGCAGTGCAAATGGAGCCCCTTTATTATTGCAGAGTCCTGGGCATGAATCACCACTCTGGGGTGGTGCAAGACCCTTTCAGGGGTGCCCCAGTGGCCAGGTGAACTGCCCCTGGGGAGACATTGGGAAGTAACTGTGGCTGGAGCCCATGCTCTTCCTGTGGCCCTCCCGGTCTGACTCCACAAACAGAGACACACCGGGCAGGTGGAACTGTACCGCACCTGTTTCTGGAAGGGGCATGCCGGGATGCACCCACAGGGCTATGGCAGAGTGTGCGCTTCAGCTGCAGTCATTTGTACTGTTCGGCCAAAGGGGTGAAGTGCAGGGAAACCTAGGGCAGATGAGGTCGCTTTCCTTCCCTGCCACCAGCGCTGCACAGGGAGTTTTGCACAGGTCGTGAAAACCATCGGGTATGCCACCATACCCAACTGCTTTAGGCTATTCTGATAACACCAGGTGAGGCAACACCTGGTTGAGAACCACTGAAGTAAGCTGAGGCAGCACAACGGTGGTTCTCACTTGGGGCTGTTGCCCTATTCAAAACAGTGTTGGAGGGCACCCTGGCTCTAAAAAGGTTGCGAACCATTGCATTAAAATAATGCATCTGGGCCTATATTGAATGAAGCCTTTAATCATGTGCTCAGGGCTGGGCCGGATCAGGAGTCTGCACCGGTGTCTACATGGCTACAACATCCTACACCTGCCCCCTGCCACAGCTCCCAAACCTCTCCCAGTGACAAGAGGTCCGGCTACAACGGGCGTCGTGAAGCAGCCATCTGAGCTGGCTTTAAACTGGCCAGCATGGGCACTGCAGCCGCAGAAGCTGGAACCTCTGAGCAGGATGAAATGTCTGTGCACGTACCCACGTGGGTTTGGGTGGCCCGTGTTAACTCCCCACTTGTGTGCCTGCTATCAGGCACTGAGAGCTAGTTCAAAGCCAGCTTGGGCTCATTTGCACACACTGGGGAACCCTGCAGTGTAAAGGTATCAACATGGCTCATCTAACTATCACTGAATGGAACTGGTAGCGACACATAAGAGCACAAAGCGGTTCCTGATTTGGTCAATCCACTTGCTAAGTTCTACAGTATTAACAACCTGGGGGCGCTTTCCCACCAGCATGCGTTTCATATCCACAAATGGGTTGGGGCCAACTAGAGGCGTTATCCTGTGGCCATCAAATAGTCACATGGAGTTTCTACCAAACACTCACCCATGTACTGCCCCCCTGGGAAGCTGTCTGAACAGTCAGCCCTCACACACACATTCAAGATTTGCATCTGCTGTCTACACAGCGCCCTGCCTTGCAGGCTGAGCTGGGCAGGATCCCCACAGACAGCAGGTCCTGCACAATGGGGTTCATGTGAACTTGTCCAATACCTTAATGGTGGCCTTGGCTGACTCACTCAGCAGCCCAAGGAGCCCTTGCGTGGTAAGAAACATCCCTACTCTTATCCCCAGCTGCTCTGAGCTGATTGGAAATTTGGTGTGCACTCTGGACTGACCAGACTGGCTTCCTACACTTGCTGTCCCTCCCTCCAGTCTGCCGGTAGATGGTCACGCTGGACTGGGAAACCCTGGACATACTCCACGATGAGTTCCCAGCAGCTCTACCCATCTCATTCTTCCCCCCTTCTCTGACGAAGTTCAGGAACTCTGGTCTCTGCACTATGTAAACCAGCTGCCGAGCCCCTTGGCTCTGCTAATGGCTGCTTATAAGTGATCCCAACATTGGCACATGCTGTAGGGTAAAGACTGAAGAGCCAGCGGAGCTCTACAGCGTGTTTTATGGCTGGTGTTGACAGTTCTTGAGTTTACCGAAGGGCAGAAGGCTGCAGATCAGCCCTGCAATTCTGACTTGTATTAAAGCAGGAGGCAGAAGAGTCAGAACCATCCAGTTGCACGTTAGTGCACAGGCAGAGGTGCCTGCTGTTCACCAGCGGCACGTGCGTGCACCATCCACCCTGGTCTGTGAGAATCCAGCCTCATGCAGCTATCCCCAGGCCTTGGGGGTCAGCTAGGCAGTCTACACCTGCCTGCACAAGGAGATCAGCTCACTGCACCGATACCAGACCATCTCTGGGTGATAGGGCATCGCTGCCTTCTCTGGCTTCCCAGGTAAGGGCCAGCCCCGACGTGCCGGGAGGCCCATTATCCACAGCTGGGACCCAGCTGGGCTGGGTCTCAGTACGTGGCCTCATTGTCCCCGACCGCAGCAAAGGGGAGGCTGTAAGTGCTGTTCTTGCTGCGCTTGCTTTTCTTCCAGGCCAGGAGCGTGCTGGCGCTCTTGCTGTTCATGAGGCTCTTGCGGCTGTTCTCCTTGTTGTTCTTCAGCAGGCTGCCGCCCGAGGACATGGCAGCCGACTTCCTGTCCATCTATTAGGCAGAGAGACAGAGAACACCGACGTGAGCTACATCGGAGGGGCAATGAGCTGGTTCATGGATAAGTGTGCTTGCACGCTGGCAGCAGAAACACAGCAGTCTGGACCCCAAAAGGAGCACGTGCAGAGCTCGGTTTTAAGCAGTGCTATGCCACGTCCTCCTGGGAGGCCAGGAGCTGGGAGGAGCACAGCCCCTGCCTACAGGTCGAGTGGGAACACCAGAGCCAGGTTCTGATCAGACAGTGTTTATACCCTGGTCCATTCCCACTGGTTTCCAAGCAAACAAGGACAGGATCAGGCCCAGTGGGGTTTAAAAGGGGCTGATTAAGGCCCCACAGGAGCTCTGAGCCTGAGCAGGGATGGAAACTCAGGGGCTCCTGGCTTTCAGCTTCATGCTGTTCACTTGGGAGCAAGCTCTCTAACTGCTCTACTGCTTTGCTGTAGATTTAGGAGAGGTCCAGAGAAGGGCAATTAAAACAGTCAGGGGGGCCAGACTAGGAGAGACTAAAAAGGCCCAGACTCTTCAGTGTGGAAAGAAGAAGGCTGAGCGGGGATTGGATAGAGGTCTATAAAATCAAGAAGGGTGCATACCAAGTGAGCATGGAGTTTTTGACTTCGTCACCAAGTCCCAGAACACTAGGTCAAGGGGACCACCACTGAAATCAGTAGGTGACAGGTTTAAACTAACAAGAGAAAGGACTTTTTTTTTTTTTATACGCAATGTGCCGTTAACTTGTGGAGTTCATTGCCACAGGAGGTGGTGGAGGCAGAGAGTGGATCCAGGTTCAAAAAGGGACTGAGGAAATTCATGGATGATGGATCTATTAATGCCTATGGAACAGAACAGAACAGAGGGAGATGCTTTCTCTGGCCTCTCTAACCCAATAATTGGTGGGTGCCAGAGACACTACTGAATAGGGGATAGGTCACTAAAGAGATACCCCATTCTATGCTCTCCCTGTATAGCATCCACTTCCACCACTGTCGGAGACAGGCTACGGGGCTAGATGGACCACTGATCTGACCCAATACAGCACTGCTGATGTTCCTCAGGATGTGGCTTTCCCCCTACCAGGATCATCCATGCTGGTCAGACCTGAAGATCTCTCCTTTGCCTTTCATCTCTCAGGACATCTCATTCTGACCAAGGCACCCAGCTAGGAGAAAGCAAGACTTCACAGCCCAGTTAGACAGCTGAATGTCACGAGGAACCACACCCCTCATGCCCTCAATCTGCTGATTCTGGCCCAGTGAGAAACCACCAGGAAAGTCTCAGCTCCTTCCCACTACACCATCAAGGTCCCTGTTGGAATCAGCTTCCTGCTTCACAGCTTCTGGACTGCTTGTGGGCAAAGCCACCACCCTACAGAAAACGCAGCCTCCCACTCGAGCT